GCTACTGCGCCTTACACGCCTCTCGGATGTGGCCAACTAAAATGTGAACATAAAAGTTGCAAAAGCCGACACGTAGTAACCACAAACAGATGTAAATCATGCACACAGCCGTGTACCAACATCCAAATCACATCATAACCGGCCGTAAAAGACCATGGAATTCAACAAGGCCGCCCTCATTACACCACTAAAAGGAACTGAAACTGCACATAAAAACAAAACAAGGGATGAACCTCAATCACCCATAGTAATCACTTCCATGCTGTATGCAAAGATGAATCACAGCATCACCAACAACTGCTATATCCATCACCAACAACTGCTATATAGGTGAGCGTTTCCTTCCAACAATCCAGTACATCACGTACAATTACTGAACCATTGAGCGCACACATGACTTACTATAGGCGCACCCTCTATGACCCTCACCCTTGGAGCGAAACTAGCGAAAGCCAGGTGTGACATAGTGATGCAAATGACACCTGGATGGAGCCATGGATGAGTGCGGCGTTCGACCACGACCCCCGCAATCCCCCAGACTATGTCCCATTTCAATGGGACTCTACTTACAGTCATGAGGGCAACCTCAGGCGTTATACGGCCTTCGAACACATGATGGAGAAGACATATAGACAACATCCACCCGTACCATGGTGTGCACGCGAAAACAAAGGGAAGTATCACGACAATGGAGGAATATTTCGACTTGCAGCACTATGAGAGGATCTATCGACTGAGTCGGGCCCAACGAGAGCGCGACAGCAAGAGGTAAGTACGGTGCAAACGCAGTTGTTTCTTTTTGAACGTGACCAAATGCATGACTGGTCCATCATGTCCCGTAACCTCCGCGGGACGAAACCACCGAGCACGTAGTTTGTGATGCCCTACGTCGCACCAGAAGCGGACTTGCGTTCCAACTGGAAGTAGCTGTGTATCTTGGCGTGATTGGTTAGCATAATGCTGCTGCTGCATGCGGCGTCGTATCATCCAATCGGAGTGCTACACGATCTCTCACTAGTGCACTCAAACCCTGATTCGAAACCAACGTTTCACCTATCTTCCGCTGCAGCGAACCCCTCTGGGGACCATCATAAACTCTGCCCGTGTGCAGAAAAAAATGGTGAAAAGCCCGTCTGAGGCACCACCGTAGCATTGTAGGCAAGCATGGCAACATAGATGTTAGCCACCCACTCATGGCAAATGTCTGTGTCATCCATTTTAGATACCCATTTACTAATGGTGCGAATGGCCCTTTCTGCACGGCCATTTCCCCCATGATGGCCAACTGACGTTAAGTGTACATGGCTACCCAAATTAACACAAAACAGGTCAAAAACAGAATTGCCAAACTCCGTGCCGCGGTCGGCCACAAACTGGAGCGGCACACCCCACGGTAAGATCTGTTCACGAACAAACTGAATGACACCTTGAACGTTTTTGCTGGATTGAGTAAATACTCTGACAGCCAAAAGTTTGGACGTCTCATTGACCGCTACTAACACCGAACACTCTCCTCCCGGTGCTTTGGGGATCTCCAAGAAGTCCATCAACCAGTTGACAGAGAGAACCACAGTGCGCTCCGGTTGTTAAAGAAGCCCCAGTGGTTCCGTTGGAGGACACCCATGCATCTGGCAAGGGCCGCATACACGTCCAATCAACCGTACCTGCGGACGCAACCCCTCCCAACCATCGACCAGTTGACAGAGAGAACCACAGTGCGCTCCGGTTGTTAAAGAAGCCCCAGTGATTCCGGTGGAGGACGCCCATGCATCTGGCAAGGGCCGCATACACGTCCAATCAACCGTACCTGCGGACGCAACCCCTCCCAACCCAGAACGTCCCTTACAAGATGTTGCAACAGTGCCTGGGCAGCATGGACATATGCTACATGCAAATATTGCAATGCCTTCACCACCTGAGCCCCTGACAGCGGCACCCCCCACAGAGAACGTGACGGGCACGCTAACAATATCGGCCAGGGGTCAACGGGTAAGGGGATGGCTGGACGAGTACGTTTCGATGGCGGCTGGTGACTGTCAGCACCGGTTATCGCCTCCACCGGGCCAGACTCTTCGTTACTACCACTGGGCGGAAGTACACGTGGGCGAGCAGGCTCAAGACTGTGCCTCCCTACTTCTCGAGACAACATCCGCTGCTCGAAAGACACATCCGCCCCGGCTGCAACGACTTGCGGACGTATCTCCCCTTTGTCCAAGGCCTGGGCCAGAATAGTAGGGTGCATCTCTGGGTGAGACACAGCCAGCCCAATGACGGCAGCCGCAACCCCAGGAAACACTCCTGTACGCACACCTTTCCCGCTAATCATAGGAGAACACACAAGTGGTGCGTTACTAGGCAAAGGGCGAACTGAAAGCAACGAACTCTCACTCGGCAACGCCGTCACCGGAGACACCGCTAAGGAATCACAGCGCTGCCATAGATCAGCGGAGACCTTAAACTGCCGAGGCCCTAACCTGCACGCAAGGGTGACAAAAGAAGGTGGACCAGTGGGTGAGTGTCCAAAACGCGAGAAGATACCCTCCATACGCGGGATTACCGTAGGCTCATCCGCCAACAAGGAACACAACTGCAGGAACCAAGCCGCCGAGGGCCAATACGGACATATCAACGTGCACCAGGCCTGGTCTCTCTGCGCCTTCTCAAGGACAGCTGTCGACAGAGTCCAAGGAGGGTTCATAAACCAATTAACGGTAGGGTCGCCCCAGAAACGTGCAAAGACGCCACCTTGCAAGGTTGGCGAGCAGTAGTAAGGCAATAGATTGCTGCCTGGGAGTGCCAAACCGTTCGCTGTGTGGGGTCCCCACCGCTTTTCCAAGCGTCGAAAGTATGCCGACGTCAGCATATATTCCTCCGTAGTGGGTAGCTGGACCAGCGGGTCCGCCCATGACACTCGGAAGCTCACTCTTTGTCCCTGAACCTTGAGAATAGGGTCAATAGACACACACAGACGCGATAAAATGCCTGCCACCGGGGTATCTACCCCAGGCACATGGATTTTTTCTACGTCGAAGTCTCTCAGAACGTCGTAGTAACGCCCCATGCGACGCCCTCGTACATCATCTGGAAAAGCAGCACGGGCTTTGCTGAGCATCGCTAGAAGGGGTTGGTGATCAGTACATAAGCGGATCGGAAGAAGAGCTCTTCTAAGCACCCGCGAATTCTTCTTGATACCATACACTAAGGTAAATGCTTCCTTGTTTGTAATGTGGTATGCGAACTGAGCAGAGTCGTACCTAGATACAAAGAAGCATACTGGGAGTAGGACTTCATCTCGTAGGACAGCTAATTTCCCACCTACCCCAACCGATTCACAAGCATCAGCGTACATGACCATCTACTCCTTAGGGCGAGGTTCGACAAAGACTGCACAAGACTGCAGACATTCATTTAAGCACGCAAAGGCCTCACGCTGAGGTGCTGCCCACACAAATTCCACCTTGTCTTTGAGCAATGCTGACAAAGGGGCTAAAATACGTGCGAAGTTGGGTATGTAGTCGGACCACCACCCCACCGTGTGGTACCATGACTCCAGTAGGTCCTTGGAGGTAAGCTCTTGCAGTGATAGCAATGCCTCCAAACGTCCCAAATCGATCGTTGATCCTCGATAATCAATTAATCGGCCCAGGATCACTACTGGCTTCGTATATTGTGTAATGCTACATTTAGAGAGCCTCAACTGTACTCCATATTGTGCACAGCGAGCAACTAGTGCCAACAAACATGTCCAGTGCTCCATAGGATCATCGTGTGCAAAGGATATATCATCGATATACCACATGATATCCATAAGTCCAGCAAATACATCCCCCAGCATCTCTTGGCAGCGACAAGATGCCTCCTTGAGACCAAAGGGCATTCCTACAAATGCAAAACGGCCAGCTGGAGTTACAAACATAAGGTACTTCCGAGACGCTGGAGCCACACGACGTTGGCACAACCCCTGCCCCATATCTACTGTCATCACCCAGCGCTTGCCCTTGAGCGTTGATAGATATTCTCTTTCTGTAGGTATGTAATGTGGCTCAGCTCGAAGTTGTGTATTCACCCGCTTTTAAGTTGATACAGCAGCGCCAGTCATCTACTGTCTTAGGAATGACCCCAGGTTTCTTAAACACTAAGTGCGGTGCTGAACACAATTCTGACTTATCGATGCGCTCAATTAGCCAAGCATCTATCTTCAACTGGAGTGCTTCTAGCTTCAAAGGGTCCTTGTCAAAACAGCTGACGTACTGCGGGATGGCATCCTCACTCTCACTAATCACCAGGTCAGGTAAGTTGAGGAAGCGCAGGGCCAGGTCAGCTAACAGTTGTTGCAACACCCCTTCCGTTGCCCCACATATACTAGCTAGATCCTTGATGCCTTCAATGCCTAGAGGTGGATCCTTCTCCTCGTCCCACACCTCATACTCTTGCTCCTCTGCTGCCCACTCAGCTGTGCAATAACGTTTCGGTTCTCTAGCCAGCACACGCCCTTCTAACACCTCTTCTGTCACCCCTACTCTTTTCTGCAGCGTCTGAAACACCGCTTGCTCTCCACTGACACTACCGGTATCTGTCACTACAGTCCCAACCTCCTCTGCCTTACCCATCAGTTCCAGGTAGGCAATTGTTAACTCAGCTTGCGGCGCCACACAAAGCACACCTTGCTTCCACATCAGGTGCCACTTATGCTTTTGTAATGTGTTGTATCCTATCAGTAACTCACAGCCAATTGGTACTTCTGTGACGACTAGGCAGTCTATCCAGTGTTCAGCAGTGTGACCACCCCAAGTAACCACCGCTAACTTTACTCTTGTAGCCCCTAGCGGCTGCAGCAACCCCATGTCCCCTACACCAGTGAACACTTCACCTTCGTACTGGTGTACTTTGACTTTTAACTCGGTTGCAATTGTTTGAGTGATTAAAGTAGGTGTAGCCCCTGAGTCCAGATAGATCTTAACCCAGCGTGAACCTACCCAAGCACCTGATACCCCCGCAAGTCACTCCTGTCCCGGGGTCACGAAGTTAGTGGCACTTGCCACCACCGACACCTTGTCATTGCTCTTGTTGCTTACTACCGCATCCTTAGCGCCATCCTTAGATACATGCTTCAATGCTACTACCACAGCCGCCTCATCCCACTTTCTCTTAAGCGCTTCCTTTTTCCGCTTCTTGAACTTCTGCGCAGCACCTTGTGGGACAGTTCTGCTGCTGGTCTTGGCAACACAGTCTCTCTCAAGATAACTCGCACTTCCGCAGGAGTGACAACCAGAGTAACGATCCGAGCCCGGTACCTGCCCCAAGGCTCCTACCACACCTCCAGCACGATTGCCCTCTTGTGCGGACGGCCTTCTTACTAGCAGTAAGTCACTCTGGATTTTAACAACCAGGGGGGGTTCACCTGCTTCATAAGCGCTTTCTACCGCCACTCTATCTTTCTCTAAAGGGTAGCAAGCAATGGCAAAGTTTCTTAAGTCCACTTCAGTGGCCTTGAGTTTTGTCATGACCTCTTCCCCAAACACTGGATATCTCAACATCGTCTCTATGTCAGCTTTGACAAAGGTGTCTGCTAGCACTGGTTCCACCAGACAGGCCACCGCTTGAGCCCTTTGCTTTGATAAGGTGTAGAAGTTCTCGATGACGGCACACAGCCGCTCACCTTCCACAACATCGTCATTGCTAATAAGTTTTTTTTAGCAGCAGTCATTAGGCTATTAGCCAGGGTGTCTTCCTGTGTACCTTCAGTGGCACCTGCAGTAGTCTTCTTGGCCTTTTCATCTCGCACCGTCAGGTTCCAATCTTCAATTCTCTGAGCACCATACCCCCATTGAGCCACGAGGTCCAGGCCGCAGTAAGTACAGCTTTGAAAGCATTGAACTTAAATTCCTTAGGATACACTACTTTCAACGCATGGTCATTCGATATGGATTCTGCTAAAACCTTAAGTTGGGGCGCAGGATTTACCAACAACATTCTCGTTGTTCTTGCTTCCATCAACACATAAGCCATTGTCCATTCCGTAGAAACCAGCGGTGTAGGCACCGCCGCCTTCACCTTGCTCGATAATTCCTCCTTCAGAATCTGGTGCAAGATAGCATAAAGATCTGTGCAACGGGTGCCATTGTCATAGACATCCTTGGCGATCCCACCTCTGTCATTCTGCATCGTCATACGGACACCATTCCAATCCACCAGAAATTCATGACGAGATGCTCCATACTTCTGCTTCCCCGCATAGGCTCCAAACCGGCCCTTGGCTGCATCTGAGATCGACATTTCAATATCCCACACTATTAATTGTTGTATCTATGAGTACGTATATTTGTTGTGCGCTGTAAATGTATTAATAGTGCGCTTAAGTTTTGCTTAGGAAAAACACTGTCAAGTGGTAAAAACCTAGTTTATTCGCGTTCAGTCTAATATACGTGTTGTTGCTCACGATAGAACTGAACTTATATTATTGCAAGAGCTTCCTTTTATACGTAAGCTCATAACTGTGTAGCTTAGTACTAAGGTAACAATTTATCACAATAAAGAGATGTAATCCAACAAAGATACAAGTCTTTGCCGATCCCCTCCCATCTCCGCCTCACTAGGGAAAAGGAGTCAAGGCATGCATGTGGTACAAGCTTCCTTCCTCCACCTAAGCTTATACACCAATGATGCGTGCCTCCATAGGTATACATGTACCTTGACACACATATACTGAATCTGATCCATCTCTCACTTACTAGCACGTGCTGACATGCGCTACATAGCTTCCCTAGGCCTAACAGGCACACCGTGCCCCTCCCTATTACGTAGCATTGCGCTATACAACACGCGCCAGGATGTCATCGCGTAAAACATGAAGACTTGGAACTGTAAACCCTCTAACTTGGGAAGCTAAAGAATAAACTAACTAAAACCTAAGTTTATCCTCACAAACTTGATTTATCCAGCAGTTTTTAACCAAATATTTTAGGGAGACATTTGCATCCTAAATTTACTCTTTCAGGGCCAAAAGTGACCTTGCTCCCAGTTTGAGGGCTATTGCGCCTTACACTCTTGATGTCCATAGTTATTGCATTAACCAATAACTTGCCACTTATCAAGAGTTACCGACTTAGCCTTCATCCGACTGGCACATCTGGTTGGCTGAACGGAGAATAAACTAAGCAACGCTAATAGTCCTTGGAAACCTATGTTCGGTTGAGCCATCTCGTTACCGAAGTATTCAGATATAAATAGATTTGGAAGGTAAATATAGTTCTATTAATAGAACTAGAGCAGATCTTATATTTGGTATTTTACTGGGGCCTTTTTTTGGCCTTGTCCAATTATCTGATATATAAAATGGAAAAGGTATTTAATTAATAAAAACCGTTAAAAGCCATTTAAGAGTTTACGTACTTTAAGAGTACGTTTATATTACAAGATTCTAATGTGGAGGCCCGGCTTTTACAGATGCAGGCAAAGTGGCTGGTGGTGAATTTGTAGCTACCGGGGCAGGCAAGGCAGAGATGTACGTAATCGTTCCAATCATAGCACAGAGTCGGATTGGTGTAGGTTCGAAGCAGCGGTTAAAGCTGTCGTGTCTGGCTTTGTCTCGATTTGAGGTTGGCGGTTAGCCCATGACCAGTTGGTAGTAGTATTGGTGCCGGGCCATTGCCGCGATCTCTTTGTTGGACCAGCGTTTCGTTGAGTTCTTCCTAATGTCGTCACAGCGTCGGCGGAGGGCTACATGGTCGGGTGTACGCCCGCCCATGGGTTTGTGTACAGTTTTCAGGTGGGCATAGATACTGTACGGGAAGCACAGTGATGGTTTGTCGTGGGCCCAGGCGGGTTGCGTCAGAGGGGTGAGTGGGTTTGTACTGGCTATTGAGTAGAGTTGTATTCCCAGGCAACCTCCGAGGTAGTCCGCGAAAGGTCGCGCGGGGAACAGGCCACAAAAGTGGAGTAAGTTTGTTTGATGTTTGATAAACCTAGGGTATTTAGTGCCCGTGATGATGGCTGCTGCTCGGATGAATGCTGAGTTATAGCGCTCGAACAGGGGGTTCAGCGCCAGGCAATAGTGTTCAGGCCATATGTAGCCGTGGATAGGTGAATGTTTTGAACAGCACCAGTCGGTTGTGGGAGTGTCACCAGCTGAAGCTATGGAAGCCATAAGCGCAGAAAGATACCCAAGGACAATGCTGCAACCAGGGATTCCATATGTCTGGCGAAGTTGATCCCTGGTTCTCCGTGAGAGAGTGGGAACCTCAGATATTAGGAGAGTTTAGACTTGGCATGTGTGGGCGGCATCTTCAGGGAGAGGTAGCGTGTGTTCCAAGGTGCGTCTGCGAGCGTCGGCGTGATAGGCTCCCCATTTATACGGAGGGTTGGTGCCGCGTGTCGCAAGTCGGTAGATCGTACTCGGGTTTGATGGCACCCTGTTCGAGGCCAGATTTGCGTCTCCACGCATGAATGTCGTCTAAGAAGGGCCGGAGTGGAACCGGTTGGGGGGCTTGGATCCGTGTGCCGTCGACAATTAAACTAAGGAATCCATGTTGATAATAAAGAGCTAGGGGCCAACGATTGAGTCTTGTAGGATGTCATTCGTTCAACGGAATAGAGGCGAGAGCGTGCCGCGGTATGTCACTCGGGTAGGGACCTTTTAAAATAGCGCGCGGAGACAGTTGATCTAGTTTTAGGGCATTCCAGCGTGGCGCAGGAGTACCATATGCGTGGGAGAGCAACCTTATCGTATGCTTTGGTAATATCCAAACATACGTCATTACACTCCTCTTCCGACTGTGTCTCAGATTTCATGGCGGCGAGTGCTTGGGTAAAACAGGAGTATCGTGATTTGAAGCCAGCTTGGATAGCATGGATTGCAGAGCCGGGGTGGCTCGTAATCAGCTTAATGAAGCACTTTGCGTCTGACTATTTGAGTTAGCGTGATAGGGCGGAAGTCGGCGGGGGAGGTGATATCTGCATCAGCCTTTTGGGGGGGGTGCGCTGTCAGGAGGCTGCAGTTCAGGGATGCAGGGAAGGTACCCGCCTTCAATAGCTCAGTGAATGCTTCGGCACGGAGTCTAATCAGTGGGCTATTGGCGTCGGGGCGTCCTAGTGGCCTGCGTTCGGTGGAACGCTCCACTGCAGCCTTCAGGAGGAGGATGTGGATCCCGTTGGGATAGCATAGTCTCCATTACATCGTCGGGGTGTATGGCAGAAGTTACATCTGGCAAGGTTCGGTATCCGGTGGAACCACGTAAGGGTTTGTTGAGTTGAATAGCTTCTCAAAGTAGCCAGTGTCATCGGCACCCAGTATGCAGGGTTGGCGCGGAGACCGTCGTTGGTACGCAAAATCTTTAAACATGTGAGTATGGCTTTGGGCGGTCAGACGTGGGCGGAACGAGGGGTTTGGCAGCCGCTAGACCCAGTGTCTGTTTATGTCGTAGTCCCCCGAAGATTTGTGGGTTACCGGCATAGCGCCAGATGCGGTCGAGGATCCGTAGCAGCCCTTCCACTCGTCTGTACAAAGTGAGATACGACCGTAGTAGGTTCTGCTGCGCCCGGATTTTGGCTTGGAATAGTCGCGCGCGGGATTTGTTGCGTAGGTGATAAAGTCGATGGCGGAATTGGTAATATCCATGAGAGGGGAGGCATTGATCCGGAGGTGACACGTAAACTTCGATAGATATTTCTATGTCTTAAACTATGTTATATAAACTACGAGATAATTTAAGTCAGTTAGGATTTAGCAGTGGTAGCTTGTGTAAGAATGATCGGGACTGCCTCTTGGTAAGAGCCTTAGTATCCTCGATCACACAGGACGTACCTCTAGCTGTTCTTTATTGAATAATTTTCACTAGAAGTACTAAGTGTTCATGACCACATGTCTAATTTATAGATAGACATAAGAACGTAAGTCAAGTTAATACATTAGCTAATATAAATAAAGTTCCATCTGAAGAAAAGTTAAAAAAATTGTCTAATTTATAGATAGACATAAGAACGTAAGTCAAGTTAATACATTAGCTAATATAAATAAAGTTCCATCGGAAGAAAAGTTAAAAAAAGAAAAAGACTTATTGGATTTTGGAGATTGGCGGGAAGACCAAATCCTGTAAGTAGTAGTTCAGAGATTATAAAATTTAGCTTATAATATCCTACATAATAGAACCAAGTAAATGAGTCATACCAAATACTCAGGCTATTGGAGCCATCAAAGTGAATTTAGAACACTTTGGAAATATTGGGGAAAAAACTTGTATTAAAATATTTTAAATACAAATAGAAACCAATGTGTTATCTCATTTGATCTTGATATTTTTGACTGACCGGAGGCCGTATTTCTACAGGCGGCATTGTTGGCATTTGTTGGGGCCGATGCATTTGTTTCGTTGGAAGTATCTGGTGATTGAGTTCAAAGATGTAGTCACCACAGATACCGTAGTCCGTCAGCTTATAGGTCTGGAGGGTGGTGGAGGCGGTAGGCCGGTGATACGCATGCTCTGTACCAGTTGAGCCGCCAGCATAGAGGTAGTCCAAGTGTCACGTATTACGCAAGGTAGTCTCGATCGTGTCCATACGTAGTCCGTGATTTGTAGATAGTCATACCTCTGGGCTTGAAGTTGAAGTCCCCCCAAACGACGTTTGGTTGGAAATTGCCAATCTCGGGGGAATTCATGTATTGCCTGACGTCTACTTCGGTAAGTGATTTGAGTGGGAGGCAGAACACGGCTATATGAACGCCAAGAACACAAAGAACACCGCGTACGATGAGGAGTGTACAAGTTGAAATTTCGATGAGTGTAGGGTATTGTGCCGTGTTGTGTGATGTAGAATATTATAGAGTGTGTTCCAGCATATATTATTAAGAAATGTGGTGTTATGCCAGGTTTCAACCACACACATAACACACGTAACGTTCAAACACTTATCTGTCCATGTTGAGTCCTTGTAAATTGAAGAGCGTCATCCTCATTGGTCCTAACACTGTTCATCTTCGGTCAACACTACTGGGCTCTCTTCCTTATTATTGTCAGCCATTTCTATATAGTTGCCTGTCGCCAAAGAGTCTGTCGTGGAAAGTTGAGGCTGCGTATGTATTGGTATCCATCATGTCTGATTGTGTCGGGAAGACCGTTGGTATGTGGAGTCGTTTAGGCTGCCCACGTACACTCGCTGGTATTTTAGCGTTTGCCGGGATTCGTGCGCTAGGTAAAAAGAGGTTTGCATCATGTTTTGCTTGGTATGCCTTCTGGAGACGGTCCGTAGTAGATCGGAGGATGTCTGCGGTAGTGGAACTAACAAGAGAAATTAACAGTAGAGCATTCATGCTGCGGGCAAGCCTTTTGGCACTCGTTCATGTGTGCAGTGGGCCTCCTGCTTGGTGCGGAGATAGTAGATTAAAGCTGTTTTCGTAGCGTCGGGATGTTGTTGGGAGTGAGGGTTGATGGTTTCATCAATTCGCCATTTCCACATAAGTGCTGCATGTCGTTTCATCTGGGCGACAGCGTCGCTAGGAACACAAAGGCGGACAAAACTCGTGAAGCTCCTGCGGCGATTTGATTGAGAAACCGGTTTAGACGGGAGATACCAAAGAAAGTGGCCATGGGGTTCACCAAAGCGCTTCTGACCCCTGCATGTTGATTATCAATGAGTCCAACTTCTGCTGCATAATATTGCTTTGCGTCGACGATATGATCATTTGCGGTAAACGGGCGTGCCCACGTACAACAATTCAAAGCAATCATATCCAAGGAATTCAGCTGCAAGAATTCAGGACTACCGAAATGGCTACTTGGCGTGAGGGTGCTATCAAAAAATGACTCCATCAGCCTCAGATAACTACATACCTGAGGCACTCACCCCCTTTGACTTTACCGATGCGCACACAGCGCCAACATCGGCCAAACAAGATATTCTAGATGCCAACGAAGGTAGCCATTACCAATGCCCATACCGCCAACTGATCAATACACTCCAATATCTCGCAATCCTAACGCGCACAGACATCTCCTACCCGCTCAACAACCTAGCTCGATATATGACCAATCCTTTTATGGGACATTAGATCGCCGCTATTCATATCTTGATGAGACAACACTACCGTTTTTAGAGGGCTGTTTCGACAAAAATAACACTATCATCAGATCTAGGACACAACTACAATTCGAAACCAAGGTTGGTACACTTCAGGACAGCTGTCAAAGGCATCAAATATGCTCACCAAAATAAGTCATGTTTAAAAATTTACGTGTGAACACACATGTTTAGAAAGTGTATGTACATATAAAATCCTCCAGATAGGGATAATATTAATTATTTCAAGAAAGATAAGTTACAATGTATGTACATATGGTATGGATCTCATAGCCGTTGTAGTGGTTCAGGAAAGATCGATGGGAAGAAGTGGTCAGTAAATTCCCGATAGGGTAGAATAAAGTTACTATACTAACAAATACTATATGGTTCTATATCTCCTAACAGTCTTGTGGTCGTCTTAAAATAATATACAGTATCGATGCGCATTGTAGTGTTGTCCAGGTGTTCATTAGTCATACTCAACTAGGATGTGGTATTGCATGCGTATGTAGGACGCATAACGCCCTTGATCGTAGAGAGTTTTACAAATTCATCTTGTCTTAGTTTTTCTTCACTGGGTCGGGTTGAGGAAGTACCAGAAGTTCAGTTGCTTCGGTGTCTTCCTGTAATAGCCGGGCCTCCACATTAGACTCTATGTTATAAACGTACTCGTAAGCAGTACGTATACTAAAAACGTACTCTTAATAGTACAAGGAACCTAAGTTTCCTAAATGGGGGTTTAATGGTTTAATTAATTAATACCTTTTCCATTTTACATATCAGATATTTGGACAAAGCCATTAAAAGGTCCCAGTAAAATACCAAACATAAGAGTTGGTCTAGTTCTATTAATATAACTATATTTACTTTCCAACTTTATTTATATTTGAATATTTCGGTAGCGAGATGGCTCAAGCGAATATAGGTTTCTAGGAACTATTAACGTTACCTAGTTAATCCTCCGATCAGCCAACCAGATGTGCCAGTCTGATGAAGGCCAAGTCGGTAATTAAGTGGCAAGTTATTGGTTAAGACAATAACTAAGGACATCAAGAGTGTATCTTTTCTTCTTTTTCTACAGATAGGATTTTATGAGTCTCTCAGATTCGCCCCAACGAAACATACCATAGTTTCTAATAGAGCGACCACGAAACACTAAATAAAATCCCTTCGGCGGAAACAGTACTGAGAGGATTATATATAGGCAATGTCTCAGCCTCACAATCCCTCAAAGTATTGCTGTTTTCACGAGGCATACCTAACTTTACAAAAAGTCTCATTTCGTTTATTTACTTTGAAATTTTCACGAAACTTAGAATTTACCTACGCGTTTATTTATTCTAAGGCGTTAATATCGCCTTGAGAGACCGAATCTTACACATTTAAAAGTTAGCAAAGGTATTAATTACTTAGACTACTTAAGTGTAAAGGTAGATTACCTACCACACAAATTTTCTTGTCCAAGCTAGTCCTTGAGAGACAAGCTAGTAGTCATAAGTTAAGATTATGACCAAGAAAGACAAAACTCCTTCTAAGAAGCGTAGAGTTGAAAAGAAGAAGATGGAGAGAGAAGCCGCTAGCGCTGCCGTAGAAGCAGCCGCCGCCGCTGCCGATGCGTTTAACCGCACAGTAGCCGAAGCACTTGCCTCCGACAATAATAGTCAACAAGACAATGCTTCAGATAAGGATGTAGCCACTCCGATTAAGGAGACTACTCCCACTGACAGAGCCCGAGGGCCAACTATTGCCTCAACTTCAAAGCTTGCATTTACGAAGCCAAGAAGTGAGACAAGGGACACGTCTCACGACGACCCAACCAATTCTTCTGACGAATCTCAGAAAGAAAAGTTCCCAATTATAAGGGAGTCCCCAATTATAGGGGACAAGGACAATTCTCAGAAGGAACCTATGACTGAACCAGATGAGGAGGCAAGCTCAAGTAGCAAACCCGAATCTACGTCCGAGACTACTAAGCCAGCGCGCATAAGTAAGTTAATTACTGAAAACACTGATCTTAAGAATCAGTTAGCCATCCTTATGAAAGACTTGACTGTTGGACATGTAGATCGATTGTATAGATCAGAAAAACCTACACAGCACTTACGCGAGCATGTTTCTCCGGGATTACTGAAGCCCTACAGAAGTGGACAAAACGTCGACAGGCAATTACGCCCGAAGAGCGTAAAGACTCGAGCGCTACACCTGTGGCATATGAGCCAAATGTGCTCAACGTATCGATACCTTACGAGGTACTACCACCAGAACTTCAGGATAATTACTCGCCTGTTCTGACACCCGGCCGTGAGTCACCCGTCCTTGAGGGTATTATAGACCCAGAGGCAGGTAGAAATACTCCGCCACCTTTACCCAATTGGAATGACAATCGTCGAAAACCAGTTAAGACTGGGTATGTCATCCAGACGCACGAATCAACTATCCGAGGGACAGAGCACCGAACGGCCTCGACCATGGATTTTACAAGGGGTAATAAACACTCCCGTAAACGTGTTAACGAAGTCGAATTTAATCGCTTCGATCGCACAGCATTGCACCAGCCCGCAGAGGATTTCCACTCTGACGAGGTGACCGAACTTAACAAATCGGTCGACGATTACACCATTAAAATGGAAATCGCCCACGATGCGCATCATGCTGATGATGTATCATATTTTGCTATTATGATTACGATCAAGCAAAAGCGCATCGATCAGCTACTTCAGGCCCAACGTGGACAAGACCACAGGGATAACCAGAAGTACAAGGGACATATCAGTCGATTAAGTCGAACAAGGATGCCAACAGCAAGCAGGTTGAGTTTATAAACAACCATGACCTCGACACGCTAACCCGTACGCTTAATGCGTTTACGGTCATGCTGGAGACGAATGATATCGCTCCCCAGCAATGGATCGCCGCTTAATGCAGACGTTA